TGTTGTAAGGGGCTTGAAACTTTCGACTTCTCAGGAACAGCAGCATTGTTTTTGCACCAGAATTTATAGCTGGAAATGGAAGGAAAGAAGGAAGGGAGGGGGGGGGGAAGGAGGGAGGGATTAGGACTGCAAAAGAGTGGCAGATACAAGAAGACTGGACCACTGAGTGAGAGTGTATTGTCACTTTTTTACCTTGTTTTGCCTCTAAATATTACATCACTAAGGAGATCAATAGGGGACTTAGTAGCACCTGGATGGGCTAATCACTGTATCTAGAACAAGGGTGTCAAACTCGCGTCGTCACGGTGTCCTCACGTGACGTATCGGGACTTTTTTCCCCTTTGCTAAACCAGGCGTGGGTGTGGCCAGCGTGTATGCATCTGGCTGGTGGGCCATGAGTTTGACAGCCCTGCTCTAGAAAGCAATACAGGAAGCAGCAGATAAAACCTACCCCATCACACCAGAACCAAGAGAGGATCTAGGGAAATATCTTGAATTCATAGAAGACATAGCGGAGCACTGGTTTTAGCAAAGCAATATACCACTGTACACAGCAACAAACTGATAGATTTTCTTCATGGAGTCTGCTCTCACCAATGATCAGAATGTACAATGCTGAGTGGATTTCCCCCTGCCCCAGACACCAGTGACACAGACTTCTTGTATCTGCCAATGGTATGAGATATAGTAGCAGTTTACAGTCAAGATTAGACTCATGTTTTTCAAGGAAGACAGAGTAGGTCTGAAGATAAATAAAAAAATAAAAAGGGTATTGGGAGCTATGGAAATCTTCACAGATCAGCATTGCTTCAATGACCTGACTGAACATAATTTGCTCCTTAACACTGTCAGTGCCCAAGCACAGCTGGCCTTGAATAGATCAAATTTCCTTTAGGTTACTATTAAATAGCTTGATATGTCCAGCTGTTTCTTACCATGGCTGAGGAGTCCCATGCTTCTGTTTTAATGCTCTTTCTTTAGATGTCAGTGTTTCTGAGCTCTGGGTGGAAATGCTCCTGGTTTGTGTAAGAGTAATTGCTAGGTTCATAGTAGAAACCGTAGAGTTGGTTGATGTGTCAATACCTTTGTTGCCTCCAAGAAACAAATGGCCTATTGTTGAATTGCCACCATTTGGTCCTTCTCATTGTCTATTGAGCATACTTGAAACTTGACGTTGCTCTAACGCCGCAGCAGCAAGGGAGAAGGGAAAGCAATGGTGGCAGAAGGTCTCCCGAACATCCAAGCTGTCACCGCCCGCCCACCCGAGGATGCAAGGGGGGGAATTAAGTCACCCCCGAAAAGATGGCCTAGCCATTTTTTCGGGGGTCAAAAAAAAAAAAAGGCCCGGCCTTATTTTGTGAGAAACACGGTAGTAGCCTGCCTGACAGGAATTTCCACTGCTGAACCAGTTTATTCAGTCAATGGTTGAGTCACAATGTATCATTTCCCATAACCTAGTTGGAAAGGATTAGCTGATTAGCTGGTGACATCAGCCTTAAACTGTGCCTCTGACACGAACAGGGGACCTAACTGGAACTTACAGCAGTTTGTCAGAATTGACCACCTACTCTATGCCATCATACCTTAGCACACATGGATGATGATAAAACAAAAATGCACATAAGTTATTAATAATATGGAGGCTTCAGATCTAAGATGCTACAATGGGAAGTGACTCAACCAACCCAAGCAAAGCAAGGCAAAGAGACGAATGTCCATCACTATGGATTGGCTAAGCCATAAGAATTTGATTGAAATTCTTAAAATAGGCTTCCTTTGCAGTTAAAAGCACTAGCTTCATATTTAAGATTAAACCAATCTATTTATTCCGTTTTAAGAAACACACAAAACGATTTTGATCTAAACACTTTAATACATAAATATAAATCATCTCTATTATAATACAGAACACAATTTGCATTTGTTCTTAAACTACAAACATCCTTCTTACATCATTTTTTTTTTCTTTACCTTAAATGGAATTCTCACTTGAGCCTGCAAAGTGATTTCAAAACATCTATTTAAACTGACAAAAAAAATTCAGATCAATAACAGAACAGTTAGGATTACATTCTGCCAGATTGTCATTTGAATGCTTCATAAGGAGAGAACAAAAGAGGAAGCATGAAAAAGCACTGTTTAATTTCTTTAAAACTTATAATTTTATTCCTAAAAAAAATGTTGAATCAAGCCTGGATACCATCTAGTTGTATTGACACATTCCTAAATCATACTGAATCGTAATTTATTTCTCTAGATGAATCTGGAGAGCCATCAACTCACAGGAATGTTAACAGGTTGTTGACATTCATCTCATTATTTTTCCGCCAATAACAAGTGGCTTTACCCCTTAAGGGGAAAAATTAAAAAAGGGTGCAGTAATGGAATGTTTTCAAACTGATGGCTCTTAATGCCACCAATCAAAAGATTAATTCTGCAGGTAATACATCATTCCCTTGGCTAAAACAAAACAAAAGTAGTGGAAAAGCATGGGAGAATTGAAACATCTGGATTCTCCTCCCTTCCTCATAAAATAGAAACATCTTAAAACCAAATTCTTAGGTCTAGATTAATAAAAAGTATATAAAATATATATGAACATATACAGTATCAACTGTATTCAGTCCTTTAAAAAGAAAAGTCCAATGCAAATTTGCTCAAGTCCTGTAGCTACAATCCAATGCATGTTTTCTGAGCCTCACTAAGTTCAATGATTCTAACTGTCTAGTTCCTAGGGAGAAGAATATGGAATTGTATCACTGTTTTATTAAAGGAGTCAGAAAAGAAAATATTTTGCTATAATTTCCTACCAGAATCTGCAGAGATTCTATTGAGGGTTGAGCCGTTTCTTTGCAACCTCCCAAGCTAGAACTAACAGTTGAAAAATTAAGACAAACAAACATTATTATCAACAAGCAGAAAAAGGATTGCTAGCAGCATTAAACTAGAAATCTGTAACCCATTTTACTTCTATTATAGAGGTACTAGAGCAAATACTAGGCTCTACAGCAAGGCTGTCAAACTTGCAGCCCATAGGCCAGATGCGTCACACGCTGGCCACACCCCTGCCTGGTTTAGCGGAGGGGAAAAAAGTCCCGATATGTCATGTAATGATGCCGTGGTGACACAAGTTTGACCCTGCTCTACAGTATACACATTTTTTAAAAAGCATCTTCCAGTCAAATCTAAGATTCTGCATTTTGGCTTGAATATTACACTGACACAATGGCCTGCATGCATTTAATGTTAATTCTGCCATCATTCATAATTCATTTAGATTAACATTAGGTAATGTTATTATTTTTAATACTGACATGCTATTTATAACACTTTCTGAACCTAGATACCATTTATTAGGCATTTGTTTTGATATCAAAGAAATATATAATGTCCCTTTCCTGAAAAAAAAAAGATATTTTATGCCAGGTAAACAAATACCAATCAGGTATCACACAACAAAAAAGCTAGGCGAACTGTCTATTTAAATAACAGTTAAAGCAAGTTCATGGGGGTGTGACAATGTTCTAATTTATTCCACGCACTATGTGAATATAGCCCTTATGTCCAGCTGTTTGTAATAATGCAGATTCTTTTACATAAATACACAGCTGTGTGAGAAAATCTAGCACAATTGCATGCTGCTGATGTAATTTTCCCAATGCTGTACATTTAAACCAACACTATAAGAAGTGCTACAGGTGTGATGACTATAAATTGCAGTGCTTTGAGCTGCCCTTAATAAGGAGTCTGTGATTTAGAGTTGGTGTGAATGTTATGAGTATCTTTTGGATTGTGCCAGTAGCATATTATTCTGATATTCTTTCTCATACATGCAAGGCAAAATTAGGAAATGGAATTAATTAATGTTAATGAAAAGATGTATCACATAAGTATTCTTTTAGGCCGAAGTCTCCTATGGAGTTTCCAAACTATGCATTAAGCCATGATAATTTCAAAAAGTTAAAAATTATGACATAAAAGATTTAACAATATACTGTTTTAATTCTTTAACAAAAACATGTTCTCCAAATTCTGGTCACAGCAAACGTATAGAATGTACATTATGAAGTAGGTGGCTTATAAGATCTCTATTTGGAAGTGTCATTTTTGGACATCAACTAATAGTGTAGGGATTAAAGCTGCCAAGGCCCAAAGTAAAAATAAATTAGATTCAGAAAGATCAATTATCAATATCTGTACAGGAGTCCTCTTTTTTTAAGACTAAGAAATAAGTAGCAATAGGTGTATACCTGCATAACAGTGGAAGAAACAGATTCAGAATTTAAACCCCAAGGCTGCTACACCCAGATGACTGAACTATTACATTCTGCACTACTTGATCTTCTTCACTACTATAGCTTCTTACATCTGCACTAAAAACAAGTATCTATCCAAACCATATCCTTTAATCTTATTTTTTTTTTGAGTGATGTTGCTCCATCATCATGGCTCCAGAGATCTGGGAATACATGAGGAATAAACATGGGATAGTTCATTTCCTAAAACCCATGCTTCTGTTCTTTGAATTGGAATAAGCATTGTGGTGAAAACTTACTGGCTTGATGTGTGATCACATATGAATTAAATCTGGATCACTTGGAAGCTCTTTAAAGATCAGGATATTTTATTCTACCGTGTTTCTCATATAATAAGGTCGGGTCTTATTTTTTTTTGAGCCCCGAAAAAATGGCTAGGCCGTCTTTTTGGGGGTGACTTAATTCCCCTCCCTTGCATCTTTGGGTGGGCGGGCGGCGATGGCTTGGATGTTGACCTCGGCGTTGGTGGGGCACTTCATATCGGGGTCAACACAGGCAGCACCATATCCGGGTGTGCAACAAAAGTACTTCCTAACGGCAAGCCCCCCCACCATTCCCCCCATTTCGCATGTTTTAATATAGGCCTTAATTTGGGGGGAGGGGATTAATTTCATTTCATGCCTATAAAACATGCTGGGACTTCCTATTGGGGGAGGCCGTATTGTTGGAGAAGCAAGGTATCCATGATTGAACAAGTAGAAGCTGAGGTAAAGCATTTATAGCAATTTTAGTCTCTCAGCTATGAGATCATTCTTTCGTATCCCATATTTACATCCTCAGCTGGTGTTAGAATAACATAACAAGCCAAGTATGTTAGCCTATTTTCTCTTATTGAAAACATTGCTATCTCCCATGCCGCTATAAAGTCATGTACCACAAAAATTGATACTTGTAATATGGATACTCAGTCTTCTTATAATGTATAATTTGACTACATAGTGTGTGTTTCATATTTCTATCATCGATATAGCTTTCCACTGAAATGATATTAAATGAAGAAGGTAATTTAAAGTGTCAGGCTTTAAATTATAGAAATCATGTATAATTTTCAAATTAGCATCTTAAATGCTGAATGTTTTTAAACCTAAAATTTGAAAGTACATCATGCAACAATTTTGAAAGAGATGATAAAAATCCTCAAAAATCTTTCAAATCATTCAGCTTTTGCAGGACAGTACCAGGTTTCATTGCTTACATCACAATTCAGTTATAGCACCCCTCAAGGCAATGATTGGGAATGCAATTTCTATTTTCACTGTACTATGGTATAAGTAGACATACACATCTGGCACCCAGATGATCTCTGATACATAACAATAGCATTTCCAAAACAAATGTGCAACTATATTGTGTTGCAGTACTCCTAATATGGCAAGAAGAGCTCCAAAACATACCAATTCTGCTGCACTGAAATGTGTACCATTTCAGAGAACCAATATATTGTTTTGATAACTCTTAAGTAGGTGAACTTAACCTAAGATCTTACTCGTAAAACTGCAGACTTCTTAAGTCCATAAGAACAGGTCTCTGTGTATTTGGAATAACGGCAACAGTATATTTGCATTCCTATCACATTCAGCGCATTGAGGGGGACTATAACTGAATCTAGTCCAATAAAAACCATAGCTTTGAGCCATGGAGTGAGAGAGAGCCTTGGAACAGAAGGAACCTAAATTATGTTTAAAACTCCAAAAATAGCAGACATTCTTCCGTAGAGATGCATAGAAGGCAATGGGAAAGAATTCCCCAACACAAATACACTGGTTTTTGGTTTCCTAACATGATATTAGGAAATCAAATCCTTGAAATAAATACCCTGATAAAACTCTTTCCACAACTATAAAAAGTTTTGTGTTCAAGAGAATAAAATAATTCACAGGAGTCAGGTCTTAAAATTAGGACATGTACTTTTTTTCTAACATAAACATGGATATTTCTTTAGAACAATCATCTCAACTGAATTCTCTGAGAGTCTAATTTAAAAATAAATATATATATCTTAAAACTATTGTACCTAATATGGAAAACCATAGGTTTTCATGTGAAAAACATCATGAATGATACAGAGAATTTGTAGTTGCACTAATTATGCCTTCAGAGCTTTCCTAAGATCAGAATAAAAATTGATCAGTGTACCAGCCATAGCTGTGTCTACTACTGATTGTGGGAGCATCCCACGCAGGTCCGTCTGGATAAAGCCAACTAAAAGACTATGTCTTGGATGGTCCGTGAGTGGAAAGCAGAACCAGCCACAAGGATGGTTATATCCTCGAACAAAACTTTGCCTGACTTCGCCGTAATCCAGGCTAATACCTATTTTAACAAAAAACATCAACAACAATTATATGAGGATCTAGAGGAACATATTTTTAAAATGGCTTTTTAACGGAATGAACAACGTTTTGGAAAATGCATAATAAAAAGCATACAAAACAATAAACATAAAATAAAGGGACATGAAAAGATTATTTATCTTAGGCACATGTGCACTGACATAAACATAATTTCAGGGAAACATGCAACTATTTTATATATCAAAGTTTAGAATTTCTGTTCCAAATTGTTTTGTACAGATGAGAGTAAAATTTTAAAGGAAGGCACTTATCCAAACCCCAGACCTGAAAACCATCACTTTATTCAGCAGGAGAGTCTTTATTCAGCCATATAAAATAAGGAAAATGGCATGCGAAGAAGCATTTATGCATGCCTAAAGTTATTGACAGCATTGTGCTGATTATTTCATGATACTGCAAGTATTTCAATTTTATTTTCTGTTGATTAACATAATCAAGAATAAAATAGTTTTTAAAAATGTCAAGCTTCCCCTGCTTTTGTGAGCCTTGCCTTAAAATAATGACTGCTTTTTTCCAATGAGTTAACCATTTACTCAAGGATTTTCTCCATATTTCTACACTTCATTTGTCACAAATGTACTAAATTTATCTTTCAGACAGAAGAAAACAGGTTTAATTGGCCATTTTTAATATCAATAATTCTTTCACATGAGTAATATTCATTCTAAAAAGTTAACACATAACTGCTATGTAGTAACAGAAACTGCACATTTCAGATTCTGCTGTAAATCTGAAGGAAAATATATATATATGGGACATGGCTAGACTCAATTGTAAGCAAATGGATCTTGACCTTGGAACAAGGGTTTAATCCTGTTCATTTGAAGAAATCCTAACCCAGACATCACTCTTTAAAATAAGATGCTTGGTGTTATAAACCCAAAGCAAAATTGTTGGGATTTCAGCAAATTTTAGATTACTCTTACAAAACTGGATTAGAAGATAAAAGGTTATTAATGAGGATTTACCACATGACAGCAGCCCATCTTCACAATTAGTTGTGTAGGAGAAATCAATGAACTCTCTTGGAGCAATTATATTCAATATTTGACCAGCTGTGGTATAACGCATTACACAGCAATTCTGCAAAATGATCATAGAAAGGCAGTTTATGAGTGATTCATTTTTATTAAGCAAATTTTTGCAACCTTATTAAAAGTCCTAAAGACAATGGTAGGGTTTATCTACTGCATTGACATATAATGGATTTCCTGGCTTAGGGTACTGAACAAAGCAAACTAATTGCAATTTATTCAACAAACCATAGCTAAGCAAACATTTATTCAGCATAATACTTGAATCCAGACCATAGGTGTATACAGTCTGATTTTGAAAATTCTACACATATACAGATGGTCCTTGGTTAATGATCACTTGTTCATCAACTGTTTGAACTTATGACAGTGCTGAACAAAAAGGACTTAGAACCAGTCCTTGAAGTTCTGGCTGTTGAAGCACCCCAGCAGTCATGTGATCACAATCTGAGTGCTTGACAACCAGCCCAGATTTCCAACTGTTGCACATGATCATGCAACCTTCACAACCTACCCTGCTAGCTTCCCACAAGCCAAGTCACTGGGGAAGCCGGCAGGACGTCAGAAGTCATGATCATGTGAGGTTCTCACTTAACAACCTATGGTGACTCGTTTATCAATGGTAACTTAGGGACCGCCATCACTAATTGATACTATCATGTGACATTGCACTTTATGATAGGATCACTTAATGATGGGAATTCTGCTCCCAATTATTGTCACTAAGCAAAAATACCTATATTAACATTGTTCTAAGGTCAAGAAAATCTTTTCAGGATCATGAAAATTATATTCAGCCAGCATTAAGTGCTGTACAGGAGAAAATAGTTTGAGAGAAAAGACTATATTCGCCCTTTCATTGGTAGAGATCTAAATTAGTGTTCTGCAACTATGACCTTTAAAACAATTACATATTGTGCCTTCTTCATTTCTTCAGATTTGCTTCAATAAAGTACTTTATTGGGTGGGCAGATTTCAGATGTGTTAGCT